CAGGAGAAGGGTTGTCAGAAGACTGTTCCTTAGGCAACCACTCCTGTAGGCTACACCCCATTCATATTGTATTTCTAGAGCTTTGGGAAGTTTGCTCAGTGTGTTCACAAATCTAACAAAATCTGTTCAGGCTTTTTTTCAATACAATAAATATTTGTCTGTCTATTATTGCACCATTTCTTTGGTGGTCACAAAAGACTTTGTTAACAAAGATGTGCTAGCTTGACTAGAAAGGTGTTAAGGGTCTTATTTACCAGAATTTTCTGTGTTCTGACTTTTATTTCCCTGTGTAAGTACACTGGCACTTGCACTGAGCACGGACAGACAGGCCTTTCACAGCCAAAGAACTGACCACATTGAACCCCTAGCATTATCCTTGCAGAGGGCACGGGCTGAAGCCACAAAAGCACCAGAAATCCCTCCAGTATGCAATAAAGGTAGTCCACAATGCATACTCATGGACACAGACCACCTTCAGGGAGAAGTCAACCTCTTCCCTTCTGCACTGAGAAGATAAGGAGCAGCTGGTCAGCTGCAGGCTTGTGTGCTCACTTACATATCTCAGTCCCCAGGAGAACCTTTGTAAATAAGCCCAGCAAAACCCTGGCATCATTAAAGCTGTGAAAGATATCTATATTGACTTCTCTGGGGCTAAGATTTCACACTCAGCCATGTCCATCTACAAACTTTCAAATGTTGTAGTTCATGACCAACGCTTGTTGGGTTATTAGTCACTGCACTTACACTGTTGCCTCTCTAGAATTTTAGCTTGAGGTGGGCAAAGATAGTGTGTTGGCTGAGTGAGAGTTATCCTTTTCATTTTGCTAAAATGTAATAATGCTCAAATTAAAGGACTTTTTTTATGCTCAGTCTGACATTATCAACATAAGGCAATGCAAAAAGTGAATATCAGTGTTGCATGTGCGACTGCTTCAGGAGAATATGTAACTTAATTTGTTGAAGTTTGACTCAGTAATGAGCTTATCCTTCATGCAACTTGTAGGCATCGGGATTTCAGTACTAGAACTAACATGCTGCTATCTGGGAAGCTGTGAACTATCAGTGTTTCTATGAACAAAGTGATAACATATGCCAAGATGCAAAAACTGTGTGAAAATTCTGTTATTATAGAAGAAAAAAATTATGAATACCTAATTTCATCAGAAACTGTATCTTAAATATAGTTTCTATTCCATCATTTACAGTATTCTATTAAGTACACAGCTGTGGGCATGCACAGGTATAGAGGTTGTGACTCACAACAAAATGTTATCAAATGGACGTGTGAGATGAGTATTCATGGGCTGAAACTTCACTAGGACACAGAAGCCTATAAATACCTTGACTTTGGGGTTTTAGTGGAGTTGGGGAGGGATTGGAAAAGGTTGTTCTACTGTCATCTTCCACAGCCTTCTTCTCACCAAGAAGCACAAAGGGGACAAGTTTTCATTTCTCCAGCTTGTGTTAATTCAGGAAGGCAGAAAATTCCTACCATGTTCTTAAAACCCTCCATTTTCAGCTGCTCACTGTGTCTCCTGGAGCACACATTGCAGGACCCCCTGGGGCCTCTTCTCATGAGTCTCAGAGCAATACAAGGCTTCAATTCAACCTCCAAGCACTTGTTCTCAATCAGCAGCTCTCAGTCTGTGCCCATGGGAAGGCAACTGGGGGAACAAGTTAGTCCAGCGGCACCTGCATTCAGTTGGTTGGAATTGGAGGGGAATGTTTCAGCCTTGGAGCTGAGAAGGAGTGTGTGAATCAAAACACTGGTTTTGCAAAGGGTCCTGGGGATTCTGGTTGGCTGGATGTCAGCACCAGGTGCTGTTTGCCAGAGGAACCCTAATGGAGATGGAATGTGGAGAGGGCTCTGCAGAGATTCCCGAAGATCGAATCATGGTGTGTGCAGCCTCGTTTCTTCATTGTCTATAGCAATAAATCTACAGATTGTTTTCAAGGACTCAGAACTGCACACTATTATGTATCTTCTCGTGCAAGTAGTTGCATGTCAATAATTATTCATACACACTTGATGACTATTAATACAAACATTTATCTATGTAGGCATAAAAAACTGAAGAACTGTGCCTACGAAGGGGCTTCCTCAGCACAAAGTTGCCACTTTAATTCCCCCATGAAGAGTCTTGAGAACTCAAATATTCTTCCTTTGTGACTTTCCCCAGTGGCTTTACTGCTACTTAAGATTTGATTTAGCCGACTCACAGAGCTTGTATGATGCCGATGTGTTCACTACCCGTTTTCTTTACAGTGGTTCATCACTTGTTCATCAAATCCCTGATCTATATCAGTGTTCTCTGAAGAAAGGATGTCAACGTCACAAGGAAACAGAACAGCCTCTTAAGAAACAGCTGCTAAACAATCTGATAAAGTGATGCTCCTTTCCAGAGATGACCAATCTCTTCCAAAAGAAATGCTTTCTTCTCAGGCTTTTTTTTTTTTTTTTATAATGTGGTGTACGATTATTCATAGCAGCATAAGGGGCAAGAACTTAGCATGTCCAGGTTAGTATGATATCTGCTTGCAGCACTCATAAGCTGCAAATATCCAGCACAGAAGCATAAAACGCAACCTTCTTTTTTTTTTTTTTTTTTTTTCCCTCATGTCTGGGCTAGCTTCTTTAAAATGATAGCTTGAATTTTCTCCTTTATCGCTATCTCCAGAAGGCTCTAGGGTCCACTCAGTATATCAGTAGCTGCTTAAGATGCGTGCAGCCAGCTGTGTATGCACAGAAAAAAGGGCAGAGATCTGTAAATTCCTGCGGAGACAGATGGATTTACAGCTCCTAGGGACACGGCTTATTTCAACAGAATATTATTACAGCGGCACTTGAAAGCCCTGAGTTGGATAGATGGGCCACCTTGAGAGACCCTGTATTTGGGTGCAGCAGAAATGGGTCCTTGTCCCAAGGACTTCGTGCTCTAAACAGATAAAAGTCTGGGAGCAATGCAATTGGGAAGGGAAATATAAGTGTGTCCACTCTGCAGTAAAGGAATTTGTGCTGCTGGTAGCTAAAGACACAACAGAAGGATTATGAAAGCTTCAGGAATAAAATGGAAGGGCCACTGTCCCCTTTTTCCTAAACAGTGGTGTTGGTGGCAGCCCCAGTGGGACTCCTCGCTCCACGTGGAAAGCAGAGAGAGAAAGCAAAGAGCTGTCTTGCCCTGGGCCTTGACATTGTATCTTTGCTCCTTGGGTTATTTCTCCCTCTTTATTCAGCCCACAAATGCAAGGCTGAACCTTCCTTCCCTCCTTGGAATTTTGCCATTCTGCTTCAGATACGTTCCCACTCCATCACTTCATACAATTTATCTGATACTATAGAAATACTGCCCATGTGGATACTTTGTTGTGATGTGCAGAATTCGTATTCTCTATTTTACTACAGAATATCACAGGGTGATTATGTGTGTGGTAATTTCACACCCTGCCTTAGCTTTTGGGATTGGATGTGTTTATAAACATCACTGACCTTCAGTTTAAAGAAAAGAATTGCAAAATAAAAATAACTATATGCCATATTTCATTTTCTAACCATTAACATCCCTGGTTCTTTTGGCATTGCAGCTTTACAAACCTTTGTCCTCAGGAGCCAGATTTGCATTTCAGATCATAGATTTCCCCAGATATACAAAGCATCCCTTTTCCCAGATCAAATCTTATCTTCTGATGTAGAGACTAAATTGCCTCTCCAAAGATACAATGCCAATCTATAAAAAACACATGGGAATAGAAACCAGACCTCCTGGCTCTTAGCCCTGGGCTGCATTGACACCCAAGTGCATTGGGATAGTAGAATCACAGATCTTTCTCGGGAAATTAAGGGAAAGGGCAAGGAGTTGGAGGAAATGAACCACCCACTGTCTACAAGCTCCAGATCACCTGTTTCCCAGCACTTGATCAGAGATTAATCACTGGGGATGGAAACCTCAATGGAGCAGTATGAGAGCTATTTGCTACCTGCAGATGCTACCAGGAAGATTTTTGTTCTAGCTGTAACTACTGGGGTTTTATTGTTTTCAGGCTCTGCCAGTTGGAAAATTATTTCTGTTGCTAACATTCCTCTCCTTTCACTGTCTTTTAAATATGGAAGAAAAAAATCAACACTCTTCTGTAATGGTACAGTTTTTCATACTGCTCTAAAGGGTCACATTTCTAGACACAGGCGCATCATGCATACATAACACAGTATTGCAAAATACGTGGCAGCTCCTTGTTTGTTTGCAGACCAAGCCAGTTTTTAGGTACAAACACAGATTTTGTGCCAAGAAAAAAGGCAGTCCCATCTGAAAGTAATTTAAAAAAATTGCAGTGATAGATGTCTGCTAGTGGAATTCAAATAATACCCTTGAGAATGACATCAGAAATAAGATTTTTTTTTCCACCTTTTTTCTTCTTTTTAGGTGTTTAGATACAATAAGTTGCTCTGAAATCCAAGTGACTGATGCTAAACTTACACCAAATAATACACTGTTGATTGCAGTATAAAAGCTATATTGTAATAAGGCAGGGGAATAGTTGAAACTTTCAACCTCCTAGTCTTTCAGGGAAGCAGCAGGGAGCCAGCAAGGCTTGCTGGGCTTTGCAGAGCAGAAAAGTTAGATACCTTCTCTTCTTGGAAGCAAAAGGATTTGATAGGAAGGAGGGAGGGAAGGAGGGAGTGAATGAGCTAGAGACCTAGCTGTGGCAGAACATACCCGGAAGAAGGATGCACCTCACCTGTTTTTAAGGGAGTTTAGAGCTCAGCTTTCTTTGGCATAGAGTCAAGCTGTTTTCTCATAGGGAATAGTTCAACTTAAAGCGAAAGTATTTGAAATGCTTTCACAGCTGATGTCCAGTGTAAAGAACTGTTAGCTGTAGCATGTTAACTTCCCAAAGGGTTCTCTGGTATGCCTTTTAGGAGGGCTTTTATGGTCCTATAGACATTGACTCCGAAGGAGATTTTTAGTCAGTACTCTAATCTAAACAATATTATCTTTTCTTACCATGGTATCAGTATATTCTTCCAGCTTCATTTCAGCGACCACCTTGTTATGCTGCAAAAAGAGATCTCGCAGGAAATCCTGTAGTAAGAAAGAGACAGATTTTACTCTTTAGAGTAAATTCAAATCTAGCAGAGCTATATGAATCTAGTTTCACATTGCTGGTTAGTAGTAGTGTCTTCAGTTTGACAAAGTTCAAATTTTTTTTAGCTGAAACATATTTTTGCAAATAAATTAGAAAATTAAAGAAATTTCCCCAGAGAATGCATACTGGAATGAATCCTTAATTAACTCATAAAATAAGCAAATGATAAAATAAATCATGCAATATTTGATAACTGATCTTGATTAAAAATATTTTCCATTCGGCAAAACACTTAAACATCCTCTTATATATTTGCTGGGACACAGGCTGAAGCCACACACTGAGACTTCAGCACATGGTCTGCAGCCCAGGGATGGACTTTTGTGCCCAATCGACTCAAAGTGTTTGAGTTACTGTTTATGAACCTTCTCTCGCCTCAACAGCCTGAGCTTTAATGAGAAATCAGAAGATCTGCAGGCTCGGGAAGAGATTGTGAAGAAACCTTTTGGCTCTGGTTAGCTGAGAGAGGCCAAGGTGAGGCAGCATTTGTGGGACTCATTGGGTGCCTCAGGGTCACCAAGTGGGGTCAAGGGACAAGGCAAGACATCAAGGGCAACAGCAGACTCCTGCAGAGTCCCCCCTGACACCATGCCAGAAGGCGTGAGTCCTTCAACTTGCTATTAACAACCTAGAAATGCCATTTGTCAACCACACAGAAAGGCAGCAAATTGGTAACACTGACAGAAAGGCTCCCATTGACATCAGTGAGCTGTAGATCAAGCCCATAGAGATTTGTTAGAATAACTTACTTTGAGCTCACCAGCTGAAATAAATCCACTGCTGTCAGCATCGTAACTGCGCCAGATCTGAACAGGGATAAATTGATACAATCACATAAATATTGCAGCTAATCATCTGCTCGAGTGATAATTGTAAAAATTCAAATCAGAACTTCCATAACGAGCAAGCTGTTGCATTATCCAACATATAATTCATTGTAAATTAAATACAATAAACTTTTCACACAATAGCTTTTACCCACACTTGGATGCTGTACATGTGACATGCTGCTATCACATGTTTAATGCAGACACTCTGTCTGTAAAAGGAAGAAAAGCCTAAGAAACTGCTCTGCATTTCTTACCTAATTTGTACATGCAGTTTCTTTTATTGCCCTGAGTAAAAGTCAAGGCCATACAAAACTGGCCATTGATCTGCAGAAGCTCCCAGTTTGCATGTGGAATAAGAGTAACTGCAAGCAGTCTTGGAAAAATTGAAATTCTATGCTGGGGTACTTAGAGGCAGAGATTGGTGGGAGACTGGGTAAAGTTATATGGGCTTGTGATCCTCACCTGAGGTTTCCACTCCATGCCTGAGAGGCTACTGTTTCAGGATAATGTAGTGCTTAAAACGTGCCTGGTCTGCCTTCTTGGTCTCTGCTGTGCTGCACGTGAGGCAAAGCTGCGGCTTTGCCATAGCTCCCAAGAGCGGTGGATTTATCAGCGGGGAGGTTTTGTCTCTGGTGGCCTGATCGATAGCTGGCTGAGAGCATTTGCAAAGTTTAATGAGTACCCTTGGTCCAGTCCTGGCTACCACATCTCTGTTTTGCTGGTGTAAATAATGTACAATTTTCTCTACCTGAACAGGTCAGTACGTGTTTTGCTTCCACAATACCCATCTATTTCCCATACCGTGTTCTGCAGTGAGCAGAAGGGTTGGTATTGAAGAAGTTGTTAGTGTGCAAGGGAAGAGGCAATGTGGAGATACAGACCCGCATGAATTCCACACTGTTGTCCAAGGGAGTTTCCCGTCGGAAAAGCAGTAGAAAATTCTCATCATCAGGCAAGATCATATTGGCAAGCTGGAAAAATAGCATAAAAAAAAAGCCTGCAACACAACAAACTCACACCAAGAAAGTAATGAAAAGAAAAAACTGGGATGGCTGCTGACATAGTATGGGAAATGTAAGTTGGACATGTTTCTCCCTTGGAAATAAAGTCCAGACCAAGACATCTGGCTAATGTAGTATACTCCATGACTCACCTCCTCCCCACACAGACTCTGTCTTCCTGATCTCCCAGGTCCTAATCTTAGGTCCCTATAGGTCCTAATCATAGAATGGTATAGGTTGGAATGGACCTTTAAAGCTCATCTAATACAATTCCCATTCTGTGGGCAGGGACATCTTCAATTAGATCAGGTTGCTCAGAGCCCTGTCTAGCCCGACCTTTGATGTTTCCAGGGATGGGGCATCTACATCTTTCTGGTCAATCTGTTCCAGTGTTTCACCACACTCATAAAAAAAAAAAAAATGTCCTTATATCTTGTCTTAATCTACCCTCTTTCAATTTAAAACCATTACCTCTTGTCCTATTGCTGCAGACCCTATAAAAAGTTTATTCTAATTCTCCGTCCTTCTATAAAAGAAATCTTGAGCTGGGGTTGGGCAGAGATACCTCCTGGATTTGCAAGCGTCCATCTGTGGTGACATCGTAGACAGACATGAATTGCTCCTTCATCCTCTGAACTTTTTCTTCTGTGATGGTGTTCTGCCACAGGGAAAACAACATGCACATGAAAGTTGCTGAGGGCACTGGAAGTCTCCTGGAGGAAATATCTCCCCACTCACAGTTAACTTCCAGGATCATTGCATCCTTACAGTTTGGGGGTAATGGTTTTAAAAACCCACAAACACACCACTGCAGATGACTTTTTGGAAATAAGTCCTATGCATAGCTTTGTAGTAACTAAGCTTTCAGTTGGAAGATCAGTGTTTGGAGACCCCAAAATATATCACAGACAGCTGCTTCTTTGGTCAACTATCCCCATTATAACCCTGAGGTATGGTTTTGATCAAGTGTGTTGTACAGCAGTTTTCATCCTGCTTGTTTTCAGCTCGTGTTTTTCAGGAAGATATGCTTATCCTTGAATGACGTCTCTGTAGTTCATTAGATCACCAGCCTTGAAAGGTGTCAGTGGAGCTGGACTGTTGTTTATTATTACCTGTCAGCTGGTTAAAAACCTGGCACCAAGCCCTGTCAGTGTTCCTGGGTTAGTAGCATAGAATTTCAAGTAATTGACATTCCCTTTGCATCTGCGCAGCCCCATAATTAATTTCTACATAGTGGAGAGTTTTCAGGACTTGTCAGGTTAAATGTTTTGACAGACATCACAGTGACAGGTGAAATACAATGCTTAGATTCATCAGGCACGGTTTCTTTGGCAGCAGCCATGAGGGTACCCAGTCTGACTGGACTACACAAAGTACAGTTTTCCCACTAGGGGAAAAAGCTTCTGGTCATATGAGCTTTGTGGCTGGGCTAGGAAGGTCTCCTAGTTAATCTCACTCAAGCAAATTAATGAAGTCACATGTCTCCCTCTGCACCCACACTGAGCAGGTCTTGGCTTCTCTCCCATCCTGTGGGAGGTAGCCATGACTGGGAGGGGAGGGAAAGAAGTGAGGAGGATAACCCAGACTGGCTCTTGGCATACTTTTGTAGCAATTTTACAAGACAATAAATTAACTTCTTCCCAACCCCTAAAAAAAAGTCCCTCAAAGATTTTATCATCTTTGCGTCCAGCTGGATTTAGGACTACAGCTGTGCCTTCCTGGGTCTTCTAACCCAGTTTCTCATCCTTTCCAACTACTATTGAAGCTCCATCAGGTTGTACAGTCCCTTTCTCATTGCTATGACACAAGACCATGAGCCACATTCTCAAGCTGGCATTATAACTTTCTCCTTGGCATTATAACTCTCCCTCGTGCTATTTAAATTGCCTTCTGACAGCACCTTCACTCTTTGAGACACCTCCCAGGAGTTAGGCAAGCCTATCAGTTGCCAACCTCAATAGGCTTGCAAAGTACTCTGAAATTATCCTCCTCCATGCCCAGTAGGGTAACTTATTTCTGAAACAATAATCATAGCTGGTGTTTGAAAAGCGTGCTGTGGAGTTCAGACTAGTCATTTGTTAAGAAAGCTTATTGCTCAACTTCATGTCAGCTATTAACCACCACCTCACTGAGCTTTCTGTGGCAGGAACACTGTTATCTGTGTAAAAACAGGACAGCCTCCTCTTTTTTTATAAACTGATTTAAACTATGGGATACATCAAGTAAATGCCTGGAATGCTTGCAATATTTACACAGCTCAGTGATCTTTCAGTCCATAGGGTTACACTAGGGTAGATTTTTCAATTTGAACAATCACTCTGTGTTCATAAATATTCTACTCATGGAATGGAAGTGGTAATAGATCTACCAAAACCCAACCTTCACTCACAAAGAATAAAAGATACCGCACAATCCTGCTTTCCCAAGATATGTGCTCAAGGCAAAATTATTTGTATATCACAAATTTTTACACTAAGGATGATACACCTTGGGCTATGACAATTGGGTTTCAAAGATTACCTTTAATGGTAAACAAAAAACCCCAATCTCAAAAGATTAAAAATAAATTAAGAAAAAAATAGATCAAGTAAGACATAGCACAGAAACCAAGACTGGGAGACCTGGTCTCCAACGTCAACCTACTGGTGGTGCAGACCAGTAGCTTGCTCTGATTGATCTTCTATTCCAAAAACATTTAAAAGGCTGGAAAAAACCCCAATCTACATTATTTGTTCCCCTTGCCCAAGCATGGGTATGGATTGTAGACTCCTGCTCTACTTGCTGACTCTGTAATCTGATTTTGGATGTCTGCAGCCTATAGTGGAACAGCCTGGGCATGCTGCAGGGCAGAGCTGGGACAGGGGGCAGATGGCTGGAATTGCCAGTTCCTCCTTGAAGACTCAGATTTTCTTCATATGGTTTTGGCTTCAAATCAGTGCTGAGGCATTGCTACAGCAAGAAGGAGACATTTGGGAAACTTGTGAGTGGTTCAGCAGGATCCTCACGCCTAGACAAGAGCGTACTCCAGAAACAAGAGATGTTTTTGGGCCAAATCACTGTCTATTCAATATTTCAGGATTTATGGACCCAAGGCAGAATTCTACCAGCTAAACATGTTGTCCCTGGTATTATTTTTGCAAGTGCAATGTTCTGTGAGACCTAAGAAGGCTTCAGGAGTCCCAGCTGGGTCTCCAAGCTCTGCTCAGAGGAAAGGACATAGAGACAAAAAGCGAATAAAACCAGTGGGAAAATAAGGAGAGATGTTATGGGGAATATTAAAATGTTTTAAAGCATTGTAGATATAGCAACTGACTACACTCATAAATGCATCAAACAGATTTTTTTTTAATAGCACTGGTGGTTTGTAAAGACAACAGTCAGGTACCCCTGATAGGGACAAGATAACTATTCACAAATAAGAGATTATGGTTGATGCAGCTGCTGCAGGGCAAATCCCTGAGCAGGGATGCAGCAAAGAGCTGTCAGTGGGAGTGGGCACCTCTCAACCTGTCTAGGGGCTGAGGTTGAGCTGGGATGCCAGGGCAATGAGGGACACCAGCCAGACTAGTGAAGAGGCCCCTTCACTGCCTCAGCCACCCTTCAATGAGGTTGCTGAAGGGAGGCCAAAGGTAAAAGCTTGGCAGCTCAAAGTTTGGCAGCTCACTGGTCAGGAGACTCGATTTCTTATTCTCTGCCTTTGGGGTCCTACAAACATTTCCCTGCCTCCCCTATTGGGGCAAGTCCTTTGATAGAGGGAGAAAAATCAGGAGCAGGAGAGCAAGATGGGGAGACCTCCAGGCAGGCACTGGCAGGGATGGTTCCACTGCACCGAGTGCTGTGACCACCACCTTCCCTGGTAAGTTTGTCTTACCTTCCTTCCATTTAGTTAGTATCTTGATATTCAACTACAGACTGCAACAAGCAGTAAAGTCTAGAAGCCAAACACACTATGCTTTCAATGCCTCAGGCTCATTTGCCATTTATTTAAGCACTATGAATTATGATAATAAAAAAACCCCAAATACACCATCTTTTTACTCTGTTTTTTGCTGGATACAGTTAATTTTCTTAATAGTTGCTAATAGGGAGCTCTGTTTTGGATTTGTACTGGAAACAGTCTTGATAACATAGGGATGTTACTTGCTATATATTATATTTCAGTCTATATTATAATATATATTTGATTTTACTATATAGTATTTGTATTTTGCTTTTCTGAACATGGCTGAACTCCTGCCTGCCCATGGGAAGTGAGGAATGTATTCCTTGATTTGCTTTGCTTGTGGGTTTTGCTTTACCTATTAAAATGTCTTTATCTCAACCCACAAGTTTTCTCCCCTTTACTCCTGTGATTCTCTCTCCCATTCCATTGGGAAATGAGTGAGTGAGTGAGTGAGTGAGTGAGTGAGTGAGTGAGTGAGTGGCTCTCTGGTGCTGAGTTGACAACTGGGGTTAAACCATGACACAACAAATAGCGGGATACAAATTCGTGCCTCTTGTCTCTGTGAGCTGGGACAGAGGGAAACGGCTTTCCATAGCTGAGCAAAGGTCAGCTAAAAAGGTTGCTTTCCATAGGAAAGGTCCGTAGCTGAGCACAGCTTTCTTCATCAGAGCTAATGCTGTCTTGTTTATGTTGCCTATCTCAAGCAGCAGAACCTTACCCAGTTTGAAATGTTTGCAAAGCTTTCCCATTTTGTGAGGGCTTAAGTGAATGCTGTTGCATCATTTCCAGTCACTGCCCCTACAGAGAAGCCTTTCTTGTAAATCCTTGTTTTTCCTGGTGCATGCAGCTCCCTGAGTTTCTGGATGCTGTGCGTTTTCCAAGGGCCACTACATGTTCTCAGTGTCCAGTTAGGAAAGAAATCCTTACTTCTTTCAATGAGGAGAAGGCCATATCACTTTTATCCTCACAAAAGCACACACTTTAAAATATTGCTGTGACTTTGTTTACATATTTCTCAGGGTTAAGGAGTAAATGTCTTACTACAGATGCTCTTCCACAGAGTTTTACAGAGAAAAGCTTCTATGCTTCAAGTTGCCATATCAAATTAATTTTCTGCTCTCTCCTTTCTGTGTCCAGTCTTTGTCTTCCCTTTTGCAAAAACCCTTTAGAAGTATTTAGCATCACAAAAGTAATCTGATTTTTAATAGTGTTTGTAATCATGGAAAGGGCATGATCACATGGGTTTTTGGGTTTCTTTTTTTTGTTTTGTTTGTTTGTTTGTTGTTGGTTGTTTGTTTTTTAATTTTCACAGCATTTAATGTCTTTGTCATGGTTGATTATGATTCCTTGGAAACCTGGATGTAATCTATCTTCTTTGTTAACCCATTCCTTTTATATTATTGCCTCTTTGCTTCATGCTGTCTAATTAAATTTTTGGTCCTTAAGACATTCATGTCTTTGGCATCAGCGTGCCTTGATGAAAATGCAGCTATGAGTCATTTGTTGAAGGGTGGTAAAGAGTGAATGTATGGAGCACTGTGAAGTCTTTCTTCTTTGATGAAATTTAACTCCTTCTGATCATGACAGTCTGGTCATAAATTGATTTATTTTTTCCTTCTTGATGTGATTTTTGGAAGCAAGTGACTATATTAATTAGCACATAAAAAACAAGAAGAAACTACATTTAAATGACTATTATAGCCTGTTTCTTAAAA